TTTTGGGGCCTGGACACATTTTTCCCTAAAAATTATCATTAGCTAAAAGTATCCAATATAACTACGGGTAAAAAGGAAATTGAAAATCGTGATTGTTTTGCACATGAAATGTCGCAGTCTGCAATCATTAACACAAGATCATAAATTAATTTAAATCCAAAAATAAATAATTTTTTTACAAAATAAACTCCTTTAAATCATAATAATTATTCTAAAATAATCTTTTCTCAAAATAATTTAACAATTCAAAACAACCACCTTTTCCAAAATAAATTATTTTAAATTATCTATTTTAATAATTATTCATAACCAACCCCTTTTTCCAAATAAATTCTTTTCTCATCATAATAATTCTAAAAAACATCTCAAAATAACCCTTTCTATAAAATAATTTTCCTTTAATTTACTTATTATAATATCATGCACAGATGATTATATCACAATTTAAAAACTATAACTAATCACAATACAGTCAAAATATGCATATAATGTATAATAAATCTTAAAATTCAGATTTGAGCAAGAGGGATCTTGCCTAGGGCTTTTTCGTCGAACGGATCGACGTTGACGGTACGGTACGTCGACGCTGAAGGGGTGACGGATCTGACCGAGCGGGTCGGTGTTGACGACGGGCAGCGGGGGGATCTGAACGATGACGTCGGCGGGGACTGTTAGAGTTGGACAATGACGATGAGCGGAGAAGATAGCCGGCGGTGCCAGAGCCTGTGGCGCGATTGCGCGGGATAGAGCAGCGCGGACAACGAGGTGATGCGTCGGGCTGTAGGGTGACGCGGTGCGAAGAGAGAAGCGCGTTAGAGGCCATGGAGGCTCATGGTGGAAGAGGGGAAGGCGGTGATAGGGTGGGGGAGCCGACGGCGGCGTGCAGGCGACGGTGAGAGCAGCGGACCAGACGGGGATGTGTGGAGCAGGTGGTCGCCTGGCTGTGCGGTTTTGAGAAAGAGAGAGAGAGCAGAGAGAGGAGAGAGAAAATAGAGTGGGGCGGTGGGGTTAACACGAGAGAGAGAGAGATAACGAAATATATATACATATATATAAAGGAAATTTTAGGGTTTTGAAAATTAATTTAAAATAATATCAATTATGAAATAAATTAAATAATTATGTAAAAATTATCTACACATTAAAACATACCAGTTATACTAATACGATAGATAATACGCAATAGTAAAAATAATACAACTAATTGTACAATTAAACAAGAATAATTAATAAAAAATATAATTATTTACATTTAAAATCAAATAATAATAGGAAAATTATCTATACAATAAAAATATACCAGTTGTACTAATACAACTGATAATATGTAATAGTAGAAATAATACAATAAGTTATACAAATAATACGTAATAATAATACAACGTATTATATGAAATAATACGTAATAGTAAAAATAATACAACGTATTATTTAAAATGATACGTAATGGTATCGATAACACAACAGATTAATTCTAGAAATTTTTACTGCACTAAGTTAATTTATAAATATCAAAATCATTTAAATAAATATAAAATTTAGACTTTTAAATCGTAGAAAATTATAAAAAATCGAGAAAAATACAAATACTCTTTTAAAAATAATAATTAAATATTTTAAAATATCAAAAAATTATTTTAACTAGTATCAAAAGTTTATGATCATTACAGGGGGGACTTTATCTCGATCCCTTATTAGATATAAGTCTACACCTAACACGCGTTGCCGGTTAGTCTTTTACCACGAAAAAGATACCAGAATCCCTATCTAGGGGACTTTATCTTGATCTCTAATTAGAGATAAGTTTACACCTAACTCGTATTATCGGTTAGTCTTTTACCGTGAAAAAGACACTAGAATCCATGTCTGGGGGACTTTATCTCGATCCCTAATTAAAGATAAGCCTATGCTTAACACGCGTTACTGGTTAGTCTTTTCCTATAAAAATGACAAAGTCTAAGTATTTAAAATTATAGTATCAAGTCTAAGAGGGTTCATTCTTTTAGCATAACGTTACATGTTAAACGGATTCAATTAATTCACGTGCTAGCCCGACTCAAAACAGTAGGTAAAAGTTTATCAAATTCGTTGATGGCTAAGGGTTTGTCAAAAATCCTATATATGTTTGTAGGCCCATCAGCTTAATGGATGTGAGCTGAGATTTGAAACAGATGAGCTAAAGATAAGTCTCAAAGACTTAGTTAAAATGCATGAAAGACACCTTCGTGTCTCAAGTCAAAACACCGAGGTCAGACCCGTGTTCCAAAAACCACAACACCAAGGTCACACCCGGGTTCCAAATTTAAAACGTAAGGGTGAGACGCGCATCTCAAGATCAAAATGCAGGGGTCCACCACCGCATTCTAGAAGCAGGATTATGACGCATACCTTCATATGGGTCCTACGTGACAAATCCCTTCAACCAAGATGCCTTCGAAGCGAGTGCAGAGAATGACTCGTTTATAACAAGGAATAGCTCCAAGATCATAGTTAAGTTCCAAAGCATTTCGAAAATTCGTCCTAGTCAACCGCGAACTTTCGGAAACTTTGGAGGGGATTCTATAGGTTGTCTAAAAATCATTGCAGATAGCTGATCCCCATCAAACACCGATGATGGAAGTTATAATTTGATGATTTCCAGAAGGCTACAATTTGAAGACTTTCACGTAGATCGATATATGTTACAATGTGACAACCTTCACAACAATTGATAAAAGATCTAATCAATAGCCTTCACAATCAATATCGAGAGTTACAGTCTAACGACTCTCATATTTTCAAAGAGCTAAGACGAATATTACAAGATGACAGTCTTTGCAATGCTCTAGCAAAAGAAACTACAAATTGACGGTCTCTTCAAATCCAAACACAGAGCTCACCTCTGTGTCCCAAATTTAAAACGTAGAGCTCGTGGCCACGTTCCAAACTCCCAGAAGCAAAATGCAGAGCCCATAGCTATGTTCAAGAACGAGACGCAAAGCTCAAGAGCTGCGTTCCAACTTCAAAATGCAAGGGTCAACCTTGCAGTCTAGATTCAAAATGCAGCGCTACCTGTGTATTCTTAGCTGCCAACGTAGGTCCCCACTCTGTGTTTCAGTCTCAGAACGCAGTGTTCGTGTCCAGAATACAGATTTTGCATTTGACTCATTCAAATACGAGTTAAACGGTTCTAAAATCGTTTTCATGATTTTAGGGGGGATTATACCCCTTAAACCCTTGAATGGTTTCAAAATCATTTTTCATGAAATGTGGTCGGTTACACCCTATTAAGGAGAGATTTTAGGGGGCGGGTATACCCCTAAAAACCCCTATAAATGATGAAAAACTAAGTAGAGGAAAAGGATCTTCGATCTGGAATTTTGGAGATCAAAACAGCACAAATGAGAAGTCGGCATTCTTCGACCAAGAGCATCCTCGGCAACAGAGAGTTCTTGGAGCTTTCATCCTTGGCTTATTAACCGATTTTCAGTTCAAATCAACTCTTTTTTAAGAGTTCAAACTTGCTCCGAGTTATCAACTCGTCAGAGTTTCAAACTTGCCACGCAAGTTCTCTTCAATATCAATCAAGAGGAATCAACCACGTTCTACTAAGCGAGGTGGTCGGATCATCAATGAGAAGCAAACTCGACACCAATGTTGAGGGAGACATCTCATCGCTACTGTGAAGAACCCAGTTTTAAATAAAGGAGAGAATCTTCGTCGATCTTCTTCTCTTTTATAAATCGGGAATCCGATACAAGAAGGTAGTAATTTCTTTTTCTAAAGTTTGTTAGAGAGAATAATACATTTTTATTCTTAATTTTCTTCTTCGAATTTTCCCACCAAACAGTGTCACAGCCACCTTCTGACACCGCCGCTGTGTAGAAGAGACGCCCGACAGCGTCGTGCTGCCACCCTCACCTTCTAACAGCACCACCGCCGCCTTTCTAACACAGTCGTCGAGTAGAAGAGATGCCCGACAGTGATGTGCTGCTGCCCTCACCTTCTGACAGCACCGCCGCCATTGATGTTATTCCAACTCTATATGCTACAAGCTTTCAAGAAGAAATCCCCAAAGAAATAGCACATAAGTCCATATTCTATCAAATTGGATTTTACCAGGGAAGGAATTGATGTCCAATGCTGAATTTTATGAGGAAATTTTGTGAATTTGATGTCTAATATTTCCTATCTTATTTGAAAAAGATTTTTGTGATATAATGTGTAACGGAATGTGAATTGTTGGGTTGATGGTATTTTTTTTTGCAAATTTGATGTCTAATGGTGAAGACATTTAGACAAATTTGTGTTTTTATCCTCTATTGTACATGATGACTTTTGTGCATTTGATAATGGGTTAGATTAAGATGAGGAGGAGAGAGGAAGAAGCTCATGAGCTTGAAATTTCATTTTATATTCTTCTAATTCTACTTTGTATCCCTGGAAATTGTAACTTCACTTTGTTCCCATTGTAATTTCAGTATGTATTTTGATCTGGTGTTGCTTGGGATAGATTTGAATAAAAATAGAATAATTGTTATTAGCTTTTTATGTGAGAAAGAAAAGAAAGTAGATGAGGAATATGAACTGGTCGATCAAATGTTTGAGATTGGATTAGAAAGGAATGTGTAGTGTTATTGGTTGTGCATGGGAGTTGTAAGTTTCTTGATTTGTCAATTTTTATATAATTTGTGAAATTTGTAAGTCTCTTTAATGCACTTGATTGTTGGGATTAAATGAGGTGGGAGCTACAAGTAGTTCACTCGTTCATATCTTAACATTGCGAATCCAAAAAACCACGCTATCTAACAAAACTACCATAATACCTTGATACCAACAAGTAAATGACTATATCCAAAAATAACAAGTCCCAACTAAAACCCAATAACATTGTATACACTAATAACTCCAATAATCAAAATAGTACATAATCCAAGCAATTACTTCATACAAGCACAACATACAAATACTTCAATGCCAACAACATAACCACAATAACCAAAATTGTACATAATCCAACCAATTAGTCCATACAACCACAACATACAAAAACTTCAATACAATCATAGTTAGTCAATAAGTCCTTACAACAATAAAACTACACAACTTACCAATAATTTAAAACCGAACAACATCAACAAGTTCATACATCATCAAAGTTCACTTACATCAACAAGTCCATATAACCAAATTAGTCAATAAACAACCAAATTGGTCAATAAAACAACCATATCATCTAACACCTCTTACTCTTGGGCTCCAAAATACTTTGTAAACTATCTCACAATCTATCTCTTTTGCTTCTTCTATAAATGAAAGACAAAAAGAAATTAATTAGTGAAATTTCAAGAAAAGCAAAACAATAAACAATATATAAAATATATGTAAAACAAATGAACTAAATTAAACTTCCCAACAATTGACAACCCATCCTGTAGTGACCCAATTGTTGACAATGATCATATTTTTGTTGTCTCACCTCTTTTTGCTCTTCCGGTTCTTCAAAGCCACCTTCTCATCTGTGCATCCTGATCAGATATGATAGCCTTTGGTGCAACCCCATGCATACACTTGAGCCATTAAGAAAACAACCACTTGAAGTTTTCCTCTCACTCGTTTGCAAGCAATGCACAACCGAAGAGGGTGGATTGGCGGTGGTGGTTTACCCCTGTAAATGGAGCAAATGACATACTTAACTGATTAGTCTTGTATGTGGTATCAAACATCACCACATCTCCAAGACTTAAATAAGAATCTCTAGCTCTACCATTGGCCCAAAACACACTTCTCAGTGTACCAAGGTGATCGATCTCCATAGCAAAATAGAAATTTGGATCCTACTCCTTTCTATCTTGGAAATGACTAATGATGTTTAAGCATTCACAGCCAATGTTATTTTGCATTATCTTTCTGATATGACCAATCATATGTTGTGTGGTTCATCATCTTATCCCTAGTATCCAACATAAAGCAGCTTTTTAATATTAGACGGTTTTATTCACTCTTCATGCAACAACTCAATGAGACCAATACGAGGCTTCGATCGATGTCACTGCTTGTGAGAATGATGATATATTACTTTGTCGAGGCTTGTTAAAGGATGAACATGCTCAGAATTGAACTTAGTAACCATCCAAGTGAAGATGTGCCTAATCTTCATTTTTGCACCACAACCAACTTTAGTTTCCGGACGATAATTGATAATTGATCCACTTGTATTTTTAGTCGATGCTTTCTTTCTCTCCACTTTATCGTAGACAAAAGTCCTCGAAAGAATCTCTCTTGAAGCTTTCTTTGATTTTTTTAAAAAGTATCTTTGTGAATTCCAAACCCAATCTTTTTTGCATATGTATTGTAGTAGTTGTGTGCATCGTTGTCCATTGGAAACTCCTTCCCTTCATGGAATAACATCATCACTATATAATTTGAATTTTCTCCATTGGACAATTCTGTAGTATTAAAAATATCATATGAATTTGTTAGCCATGAATTTAAAAATAAATGCAAATCTCTCCTACAAATTTACTTACATACACTAAAAATTCACAATTCTCCAATATTTGCTGACATATATTATTCCGACATAAAATCTAACTAATATTCTTATATGCCATACTCACCAATTTATGAAGTTTACACAATTTGTGAAATTCCACAATTCAAACTAAATTGCTCACATGACCCTTGTGAAATTCACAATAAGGAGATAACAATGAACCTAGAAGAATTTGAGAAAATAGAATAATGATGAATTCATAAAGTTGCTCACAAGAATTTCAAGCATAAAACTAGTGAAACGCACACGTAGATAACAATTTCATAAGCCTAGTGCCAATAAGTTTTCTTATGCGGAGCCTAATATTGCTTCTCAACACTAATATAACCCGATATGTTTTATTTAATCTCACCACAACACCAATTGATAATAGTTAATAACAAACATATATAAAATTCATTACCTTCTCAACTAGAGGCACTGTTATTGCCAATTATTGCTCGCTCGAGGAGATGGTCCCGGATAGGATGACCTCATGAGAAGAAGAGATTTCCATTGTTGCTCGCTCGAGGCAGCAGCAGCGACGCTATCTGAAGGTGAGGGTAGCGACACGATGCTGTCGGGCGTCTCTTTTACTCGACGAAACTGTCGGAAGGTGAGGGCGACAGTACGAAGCTATCAGGCATCTCTTCTACTTAGTGACAGCGCTGTCGGAAGGCGAGGGCAACGACACGACATTGTCAGGCATCTCTTCTATTAGGCGGAGGTGTCGAAAGGTGGCTGTGGCGCTGTCGAAAGGCGAGGGCGGGGGTGAGGGCGTTGTGGCACTGTCTTGAAGGCGAGAGCAGTGGCGGATTGATTGGAAGGCGGTGACAGTGGATCTATAGGAAGATGGGTGGCGAGGTTAGAAAGGGAGAAGAAGGCCAACTCTTTGTTGAGAGATAGGAGCAGAGAGAGAGAGATCGCGTAGTGAGAGATAAATGCTAGGGAGAGAGAGGAGAGATAAATGCCAGCTCATTTTCTTTTGAAAAGTGAGGTTTTTTTTTGCAAATTTACCTCAATCGTGCTCTATCTACTCAATATTAGATGTAAGGACTACATTAGTCCACATCACTAGCAAAACCAATGGAGAAATTTAGTACCAAGTTTCGCCATTTTCCTCTATCTCTCTCTCTCTACACACACACACACTAGTATAATGCACGTACTTTGCACGTAAACGTACATGTTTTAAGTTTTGAGTTTTTTTATTGAATAGTAAAACTATGCATTAATAAATAAAGTTATATAATAATATTGCTTAAAAAGAAGTATATGAATTAATTATTATTGTATAGTTATTGTAATTGAATATTTTTCCTATAATGATTGCCTAATATTAACTTTTTTAAATAGGTCCCAAAATCTAACTTGTTCTTAAATAAAACCACCAATTGTATAAGTTCTCTTAATATAGCCCTCCAACCTGAAAATTATTAACTTAATTCTAAATTAATTAAGCTGCATTAATATTGCTACCTTTTTTCTATGTTTTCTGGATAGTTACACTTGTACCTATGACTTATTGTAATACTTACTTCTCATTATAATTATTTAATAGGATAAATTACCCTAAACCCTTGTGAACTTTCAGCCCATATAAACTTTCAAAATTACACTAAACCCCCAATGAATTTTCTGTTTTAAAGAAGACCCCAATAACTTTCTAAATTTTGTAGATAACCCCTATAAATTAGAACCAAAAAATGGTATAAAAAGGCATTTTGAAAGTTATTGGGTGTTTGGTACAATTTATCTAAAAGATATTAGGGGCTTTCTACGAACGTTATTAGGGGTTTAGTGTGATTTTAAAAGTTCATAGAGTCTATTTACTGCAAAATGCAGAAATTTCATGGGGGGTTTATCGCAATTTACCTTATTTAATATTATAATTCTTAGTTCAAGTAATGTTATTAAAAAATTATACTGTCTATATACTATAAGATATTTATCTAATTTAATTTTTTTAATTATGCTCTTAAATAGTTTAATACTATAAATATTTTATAAAGTTTTGTTGTACTATTCTCAATAATTAATAGTACTGTTATTAATATTAAATATTTTTTGTAAAAAGGTTATTTTTCAATCATTACCAAGTATCGATTTTTCAATCATTAGTAGTATCTAATTCAAGTATTTAGTAATATATCATTCTACTTATACTATTATTTTAATTATTTTATTACAATTCATAAATAATTATTATAATAATTTAATTAGTTATTACTAATAATTGTGTTTTTTAAATAAATAATAGTTATAATATTATTAATAATTATAATTATTTAGGAAGGTATGGTGCGTAACTAATAAGCGATTATATTTATTTAATAAAAGATTAATTAGAGATAAATGAATAGTTAGAATTTATCAAAATTTGGGAGGGCAAAAAGGAAAATTAAAAGTTTTAACACCCAAATCCTCTTTTTATAGTAGTAATAGTGTGTATATATATACGCACACACACAAAAGATTGGGTTTGTTTGATATTAGTACCCCAAATCTTCAATATATTAAACAACTATTTTCAAAATCTTCATATTTTAAAATTAATCTCGAAATCTTCATATTTTGAGATTGTTAGTCCTTATGTTTTGATGATGTTTTACAACCACCATTATCGGTACTAATAGCTTATTGAGTGAAAATGTAGTAAATTCATTTATCAAGCTCATTAGTGCCATTAACGGAGGATGGATGGAATATACGCTACAACGAAGATATCCAAAGGAGGAGGAGGCCAAGAGATGAAGCAACGTTATTTCAAGAACGACAAATTCAACTAAAAGCTTCATCCGATTCAAGCTATATCAAAGCTCAAGTATATTGCTCTCTATATGAGGATATTAGCTTTCTTTTGTTTTTTCTCTCTAGTGCTAGAATGTAGGCAAAGAGTTACTGATTTTACTTGAAGCTATTGGGAATCACACACACGATTTCATACTTAGGTTTACCGGTACGGTCGACCGAAATCTCGATTTTCAAATCGGTCGACCGTACCGGTCGACCGACGATGGTTCTGTTTGTTTTCCAAGTTTTCGAAGCAGCTCGCGGTCGACCGAATTTTTCGGTCGGTCGACCGACGTGATTTTTCGGTCGACCGAAGGTTTATTTCGGACGACCGAAATTTTCTTTCTGTCAACGGTGACTTTTTTAAAACGGTCGTTTGCGTCGACTGTTGTGCTTTCACTTAATAGTGTTTGGCACAGTCTGAGGTAACAACCTGAAAAGTAGATTATCTTCCTAAATAGGAAGATTGGGTTTTTGTTTTTAATTGGTTTAAACTCTTTTATAAAAACCCCCAGGCTGCTTCTTCTTCCTCAGCCCTAACGTTTCAAAAACCAGAGAGAGCTTTCTGTTTCCGGAGAAAAATTTTCAAATCTTGTTTTTCTCTCTGTTTTAAGTGTGATTCACTTCCAGGCTTCAGCAAACCTACTCTTTGCTATAGGGGCTGTGTAAAGAGAGGTTCTTGCATTTTTCTTCTGCTGTGTGAGTGAGATCTTGTGTAAGATCTACTGTGAAGGTGTGATCTGTTGAGATCAAACTGTGTAGTGAGAGAGATCTGTGGAGATCGCTGTGTAGACGAAGTTCCGGCTTCCAAACTGGGTGTGTAGTGGATTTCTCCTCGAGAGTGGGGAGCGGGGACGTAGGCCAGAGGGCCGAACCTCGTTAACACATCGCGCGTCAAGGATAACGAACTCCTAACTCTATTTCTCTTACTTTAATTGCTTTACTGTTTTGTGGTTTGCTTGTGCTGAATTTTTTATTGCATATTAGAGCCTCTTGACCCTAATCACCCCCCTCTAGGGTCCAACAAAGATTAGTCTCTCAAATGTATTAAGTGTCTTGAAGTAGTTCATCAGTTAGCACCAAGAAGCGTGAACTGCAATTTTTCAGTGAAAAGATATCTTCATGCATAATTTTACGCATCCACATCAAAAATGGAGGTTAACATTGTAGTTGTTTTGACAAAATCTTAAAATTAAAGGGCTTTTTCTGATAACCCTAAATTAAGAGGGTTTTTCTAATAATGGGTGGTTGTTTGATAATCATCCAAAGTTTTTTTAATGATATTTTAGCCAAAAAAAACCTATGAATCAAATAGTATAGAGGAAAAAAAACCATAATCCTTCTTTCTCTCTTAATAAATCCAAATCGAAGCACATATGTCTATGTTTCCCATATATATATATATATGTGTATACATATATATATATGGTGACTCCCTAGGTGTAGCCTAAGGATGCGCAATCTCAGCCATTGATCTCAAAAACCCCAAAATCATCTCAGCCATTGATCTCAAACAATTCCCCAAAAAAGAAAAAACAAATTCTAAAATTACACCCTATTGATGACCGCGAGCGTGTTTAGCCCAAAAAAAAACCCCGATCTTCTTCGTCTCCTCACCCTCAAAAAACCGCTCGACGTCCACAACCCCCCCCCATCTTCTTCTTCGTCTCCTCGACCTCGCCCAAAAAAACAAGCTCGACGTTCGCAAAAAAACCCCACATCATCTTTGTCTCCTCGACCTTGCCCAAAAAACGCCCAAAAAAAACGCTCGAATTCAGGTGGTTTTTTTTATTGTTGTATGTTAGTTTTTTTTGTCATCGGCTTTTCTTTTCGAAGTGATTGGATACCTTTTTTTCTGTTTTTGGTATTGATCGTATCAGTTGTAGAGTGGCTTTTCTTTTCGAAGTGATTGGATACCTTTTTTTCTGTTTTTGGTATTGATCGTATCAGTTGTAGAGTAGATGCTTGGAATTCTAATGGGAACTACCTTTTTTTCTGTTTTTGGTATTGATCGTATCAGTTGTAGAGTAGATGCTTGGAATTCTAATGGGAACATGTTGGCATTTGGTAGTTTACGAGCAACATTGCCTTTTGATCCAGGTGCTACTAGGGTTGGTTCGAGTTCGAATCGAATACTAAGTTGTTACACATTTGTATTTGTTTAAAATTATTGAATTCAAATGCGGACTCTAATATTCATATATGGAGTTTCGAATTCGAACTCGAATTATGTGTGTCTTCAGCCAAGTTTAGGTTATGAATTAACTTGTTTGTTGGAGGTTTTAACTTGTAATTCTGGTTGATTTTGGAATATGAATTATGAATATTATCTCATGAGGAAGCTTATAATTTCTACAATGCATACGCTAGACTTAAGGGATTTGGTGTTCGCAAGGGTCACACAACTTGGTCGAGAAAGAAAGATGCAATCATATCTAGAATATATGTATGTGACAAGGAAGGATTTAAATTTTTAAAAGATAAAAGAGAAGATGGTCGGAATGTAGTTCGAAAGTTCGATACAAGATGTGGATGCAACGTAAGGATGGTTATTAGACTCGATAGAAGCACTAAAAAATGGGTGGTTCGAAATTTAAATATTAATCATAATGGTCATCCATTAACCACCCCAAATCGGGTAAAGAAGCACTACTCACATCGGACACTTCATCGAGCTCAATCGACAAGAAGGTTGATAGATACTCTTGACAATCAAGGTTTACGGCCTTCTACCATTTGTAAGGTTGTAGAGCAGAATGTTGATGAGCCTATTGGCGTTGAAAATGGTGAAGGTAATTTTGTTGTTGATCCATATATTAGAATGTAGTTATCTACTCATGAGGAAGCTTATAATTTCTACAATGCATACGCTAGACTTAAGGGATTTGGTGTTCGCAAGAATGAGCAAGGCTCTCTCACTCAACAAGAATGCCAAGCACAACTTAGAATTAAACGAAAAAAATAATGTCAGTCATGAGTGCGTGAGCATAGTTCGTCAATTTCAAGAGAAAAAAGCATCTGATCCTCAATTTTACTTCGCACTTGATTTAGAAAATGATGGGATGATGAGAAGTGTTTTTTGGATGGATGGTAGGTCGAAGACTTCTTACTTGCAATTTGGAGATGTTGTTTGCTTTGATGTTACATATAGAACGAACAATTTAAAATTGCCGTTTGCACCATTTACGGGCGTTAACCATCATCGACAATCTACTCTATTTGGGTGTGCATCACTGACCGATGAAACGGAGGAGACATTTATATGGTTATTTAGCCAATGGTTAAAATGTATGTCGGGTGTAGCACTATTAACAATCATCACTGATCAAGATAAAGCTATGTGTGGTGCAATTCATAAAGTTTTTCCTCAAACTCGTCATCGCTTTTGTTCGTGGCAACTTCATAGGAATACCTTACAAAATCTTCAATCAATGCATAATGAATATAGTGAGGATGTGGGTATAAAGTATAACAAATGGTATTGGAGTAAATCAGAAGAAAAATTTGTAAAGCGTTAAATGGTATTGGAGTAAATCAGAAGAAAAATTTGTAAAGCGTTGGGAAGAAATGAGGGACAAATATGGTGCAGATAAAAGGAATTGGTTAGTAAATTTAATGAGGGACAAATATGGTGCAGATAAAAGGAATTGGTTAGTAAATTTATACAATCATCGAGACCATTGGGTTCCAGTTTATCTTAAAGATAATTTTACTGCAGGAATGACATCTACTCAGTGGAGTGAGGGAATTAATACTTTTTTTGATCATTTTGTGAATGCAAATACCGAGTTACATGATTTTGTTAAGCAATATGATAATGATGTCGAAGCTCGCCGAGCCGCTGAACTTGAGCAAGATTTTAAGTCCACAAACTATGTTCCTACATTGATGATGGAACATCCTATTGAAAAACAAGCTAGGGAGAATTATACGAAGAATATGTTTACTATCTTTCAGAAAAAACTCAAGGATAGTTACTCCATGCTTCATGAAAGGTTGTCGAAGGACGGCGTAAGTGCTACCTATGCAGTTTGGAATATAGATAGCGAGGCTGAGAGCAAGAAGAGGGTAAAGCATCATGTTGTTTTCAATGCATCCAAAGATAAAAGAATTAAGTGCTCTTGTGCGAAATTTAAGATGGAAGGTATATTATGCAAACATAGCTTGCACATTTTAGTAAAGAAGCAAGTATTAGAAATTCCATCAAGATATATTATGCAACGATGGACAATTAAAGCAAGACATGTTGGTTGCGGAGTTGTTAGAAATTGCATTTCAAATAGTGAAAACCAACTCTCTATCATTAAACATTGGCCCCTTAGGAGTAGATGTAACAAGGCACTAGAAGATACATTGACTTCAAGTACACTTCATGATAAGTTTAGTGCTTTTTTAGACTCATTTTTTGAAGAAGTTGAGAATTACAAGA